GATGTCGCCACCGCCTCCACTTGCCATTCCTCGCCGTTGTTGGGTGTATGTGCGCTGGGTGGCAGAGCTTGGTCGTGGACTGGCTCGCTTTGCTTCGGCAGCATTACCGTCAAGGCCACCTCTGGGTTGCCTGTTGATTCGTCGACGCCCCACGCTCCATCCGTGATTCCTGCTGCAGGCGAGGTTGCCGTGGACTCCTCCCTGCCTCAGGTTTCCTTCGACGACTTCTTCGACCCCATCGCTTCCGAGATGCAGGCCGTGCCGCCCAATGAGCGATGGGATCCCATGCGCTCCGAGGGGTTGGTCGTCATGGGGAAGCCTTCGGGTGTGGGGGTCCCGGCAGGAAGGTCGCCCCTTTCGGCGTAGCTTTGTGGATCGCCTGACTTGGCCGCGCCTTCACATCTGGAGGACGCTCCCTCCGGTTGGGGGGCCGACTGCGTCAATGTGGAGATCGCTGGCCCATTTTGCTCGGCCCCTTCTTCGAACGAGGAGCACTCGGGCCACGCGGGGTCGCCGTCCAGAGTTCCTTCCCAGCCTGTGGCCTTGTCGCCCGTGGGCGCGACGACGGCTATGGCGCCTGCTCCGGTGTCACCAAGTGCACTCTCGCAGTATCTGCAGTCGCAGCTTTGCTCTGCCATCACGGAGCCGATCTTGGTCGAACCTCCACGTCTCCGTGTTCCTAGGAGGAGTCGTGCGGTTGAAAGCACATCCTCACAGCCACGTCGTAGCGGGAGGCTAACGGCCAAGAGTAGATGCAGAGCCTTCAACCCGATCGTGCAAGCCCAGAACGTGTTGATGGCAAAATTGGGAGTCCGCCAGCAGGATCAGGCGTCGCAGGCCGATGCGGAGGGCGATTTCGATGAGTACATGGCCCTATTCGACGGACCTCTCTCGGAGTCCAAGCGTGAGGCAATCAGGATGCTCTTCCCGGCCGGCTCCACGATTGAGGGCATCCAGCTGGTGGAGGGGGTGGAACTTGAGGTTTAGCCTACCTCTGGGTGCCCGCCCTAGGTCGTTCGATCGTTGCCCATGGCTTAGTTTACTAGCTCGCTGTCGCTCAGCCCGTTGTTGCTTTTAGTCCTCTCGTGGTAGTAGTCGGGCTTCGTCGTAGTCTTCTTTAGTTTTTTTCGCTTGTGTCTTCTCCTCGCCTAGAAAACCTTTGGTTACCTAGTGTTGAGCCGTTTGTTATTTGGTTTGGTGTTGTCTACTTTCTCTTAATGAAATACGTGCTACACGGCATGTTTGAGAAAAAAAACACCTCACTTAGGAGATACGAAGTCTTGAACCTTGTTTCCGTTCACTTAAGACATTTTTTAGATGAATATCTTGATTAGGGGCATGAACACTACTATGACTATTGTCCATACCTGTGTCATTGGCAGTGTGAATTTGATCACCACCATGGTACTTATTCTTGACTATCAGCTTTGCCAGTTCTCCTGTGATGTAATATGTGGCACCAGTGTCGTGTACCAAATGGAGTCGACAGTATATGAGCTGGTGGCAGCTGCAACTAGCTTTGAATCTAGCACATAGTCTTCTTCAAACCTGTGCCAACAGGGCTTTGTTGTATGCCCTTCCTTGTAACATATCTGACACAAGGGCCGATCGTCTTCTGTATTTTGAGGAGACGCGCGATTATTGTTGTTGTTGAAGCCACGAGCACCTCCTCTGGGTGGTCCACCGGTGTCGCGACCACATTGAGATCCACGGCCGCGACCGCCACTGCGTTGTTGCCCTCCTTGGCCATGCGGTCCACCTCGGTTACCACCGCGTCCGTGGCTTGTCGCATTTGCCGATATGACACTGGAGTTCCCGTATGTGAGATCCATACAGGTCTCAAAATTAAGCAGTTACGAGTACAGCTCCCCAACAGAAATTGGTTCTACCCTTGCTGTGAGACCAGTTACCAATGATGTGAAGTCCTCGCCGAGCCCGGTGATGATGAACTGCACCAGTTCTTCATTGTCGAGACGTCGTCATGCGACCGCCATCTCATCTCCCAGCGACTTCATCTTGGCGCGCACATTCACGGTGCACACCCGAGTCTGCGAGGTGAACGTCTCCTCGATGATCTTCCATGCTGTCGCCGTAGTCTCGCACGCAGATACTTGTATCATCACGTCCTTGGACAGTGATGTGAGGAGAAAGTTGAGAACTTGTTGATCCGCCGCCTCCCATTCTTCATACGCCGAATTCGGTGTCTTCACTTCTTTGTCATCCGTGATCAGATGAGTTTCTGGTGCTACAGAATCACCAGTGAGATGACCCTGAAGCCGAGCGCCGTGTACGTCTTCATACGCCGCCTTGACTTGCACCTTCCATAAGGCGTGATTGGACTCGGTGAGCTTTTCAGCAATGATGTGACCAGCGAGAAGATTTCCCACCGAAGAAGAGCTCGCCATGGAGGATGGAAGTGGAAGATTAATGGCTGGAAATGGAAGATTGATCTACTGAGATTCAATCTTTGAATTGGCTCTAATTAGCATGTTACTTTCAGAGGCGCGGTAGGAGCGCTAACCCTATCTTGGGCTCAGCGTGTTGCATGTTAGATGAGATTGAAAAAACCCCGATTGTGGAGTTACATATAGGGAGACGCTAGCGCTCGGACGTGCGGCCCCAAGAGACGTCCGGACGCAGCTCCCACCCAGCCTATAAAATTATCTGGTTACACCCGTAACTCCCATTTAGCCTATAAAAGTTATCTGGTTCCACCCGTAACAGAGAGATAGCCCACGTCCTTTTGCACGCATAGGCAGGGACCGGCCGTGCCCCTGCCACCATCCCCCTCCGCTTCCCACCCCTCTGCTTTCCACGCGCATGCACGACGACAGGTGGGTCCCATTGCAACATGTGCAATACCATATCTACTTTTGCAACATCCAGATAAAACACTTGCAACATACGTCTGAAATACCAGAAAAACACGTGTGTAGCCATTGCAAAGTATATGCAACATCCAGATGAAATATTTGAAACATACATTTGAAGCAACTGAAAACACTTAAAAACATAAGCTTGCAACCATGCATATTTATGCAACATCCAGATCTACTTTTGCAACATCCAGATAAAACATCTGCAACATATGTCTGAAATAGATGAAACAATTGGAACAAACACTTGAAACATACGTATATAGCCATTGCAATATGTGCAACATCTCGATCAATTTTTGCAACACCGATATAAAACACTTGCAACATACCTCTAAAACATCTGAAACACTTGAAACATATGTTTGCAACACGCGCTTTCAGCGTAACATTTCCTTGCTGTTTGGCAATGAAGAGGCTCGTCGGCGCATGGAGTTCACCTATATAGAGCTCTCCGCTCTGGTGGAGAAGGACACAACAAGTCCGATGGAGAAGGCCATGGCGGCTTCACGCGCTCTAGAATGATCCCGATGGGAGACATCAAATAAGGAAAAACTTGCATTCTCAGTATATCTTGACAGCAACCGATCAGTTTCATTGTCTAACCAGTAACCAGTAACCACCAAGGGGGGTTTAGTACGGCATCGCTGACAGCAGCCATCATCACCAGTGAATTTTGGCAAACGGGTCAGGAGAAGCGACAGTGAAATCCACCTTCCACCTGGCAATATCACATTTAGGCTGCTTGCCTATGGATTGAGTACATGGAGCGTGCAAGAACAAGCTGGAGAAGTTTTAGGTACAGAAATGCTATACAACACATATGTGTTTTAAAAAAAAATATGGATTTTCTCTTTCTCTCCCTCCCTCTTTTCAACTGTCTTTTCGGCCTTGAGGATGGCTTCTCAGCAGCGTGACTAACTCGGCTCCCACGGAGGACCAGCGCGCCAGCCAGCTGAAGGACTGCCCGTCCTATATGCGTATACGCGTGTGGCCGGAGGACCGCCCATTGGACATCTGATTTGTCCTTTTGTCCTTGCATAGAAAAAAAATTATTTCTTGTGATCTGTGGATCTGTGATCTTGTGATTTGTGATTGTCTGGAGGTAGAAGAAGGCTTGAGGTAGAAGAAGGCTGGATGTAGAAGGAGGATGGAGGCTGTTGGATCTTAATTCTCTGGTGAAACAAATTCATATGTTGAAACTGCATAAAACATATGGTTGTGTAATAGACAGGGGGTGTGTCTAATACACAACCATGTATTTTATGCAGTTTCAACACATGAATTTTTTTACACCGTAGGATTAAGATCCAACAGCCTCCACTCTTCTTCTACCTTCAGCCTCCACAGATCACAGATCATAATTTTTTTTCTATGGAAAGACAAATCACAGATCCGTCGTCGTCGCCGCCGCCGCCACTGCCGTAGCATCACAGATCACAGATCACAATTTCATCATGCTGCCGTACATGCCGCCGGAGACGAAGGCCGCGAGGAGCAGGCAGGTGGCGACGCTCGCGTACGTGAAGATGGTGGCCCGGCGCATGTCGCTCCACATCGCCGCGACATCCGCCTCCAAGCCGACGTAGAACATGTAGAAGATGCGCGCCTCCGACACGTAGCGGCCGTAGGTGTCCTCCGCGTTCTCCACGTCGACGTGCACGATCACGTCGTGCAGGCCCAGGCTCCCACGATGATCCCCGCCTGGAAACCGAACGAACGCGAATTATTAAGGGAGAGAGAAAAAAATCCATGTTTTTTTTTTGCTAAAATACATGTGTGTTGTATAGCATTTTGGTTCGAAAGCTATTTCCAGTTTAAGTTCATAATGGCGTAGCCTTCGGATACAAGTAACCTATTTTCAGCTTGATATCTTGCAATCTTATCTTGGAGAAAACCAGAGAAGCTTGGCAACAATCACAGCCTAGGAACGTTAGCTAGCTAGCTAGCAGCTTGTTTCATCAGGAAAGAAGAGAAGAGTAGCTGGGACTCAAATGATTGGACGCTGTGCTCTGTAAGTCTGTATATCCTATAATAATGAAGTCGGGGGATGCAGCACATTGTTCTGCCCCAAGCGAGAGCATGCATACTTTGCATTTTGCAAGCTAAAGATACAGCTAGAACATGGCATCCTCACGTACCTACTCTCTTTCCGTGCCGTTGCTCCTCCTCGTGATAGGAGTATGTTGTTGCAGTGAAGCATTGCCCATCGGCCATCACCCCGTCGACCCGACCTGTCCTCCAGAGCCGACGGCGACGTCGGCGGTGGTGGTGGCGGCCGTGTCGTCCTCCAGCCACGGCGAGCCACGGCGGTGCCAGCCGCCAGCGCCGCACATCCCGGTGGCCGTGTTCCCCTACGACGTCGACCCGATGCAGTTCGCGCTGAACCTGGAGTACACCGAGGCCGAGTTCTTCCTGCACGCCGCGTACGGCGTGGGGCTCGACCACATCGCGCCCAAGCTGGCGCTCGGCGGCCCGCCGCCGGTGGGCGCCCGGAAGGCCAGCCTCGACGAGGTGACGTGGCGCATCGCCGCGGAGTTTGGCCTCCAAGAAGTTGGCCACATCAGGTAGGTTCGTGAGCGACTGCGAGCGAGCGAGGGTGCCTGCTCATGAAACTACCATGCATTCTCTGATGAATTTGTGGTTGTGAATTTTGGTTGGTTTTTTGGCTTCTTGATTCTTGTGTCCACGACTGCACGTACGAACATACAGGGCTATCCAACGCACGGTCGGCGCGATCCCTCGGCCGTTGATAGACCTGAGCGCCCACAACTTCGCCAGGATGATGGACAAGGCGTTTGGGTACCGTCTGGACCCTCCCTTCGATCCCTACATCAACAGCCTCAACTTCCTGCTGGCCTCCTACGTCATCCCCTACCTCGGCATCAACGGCTACGTCGGCACCAACCCCATCATCGACGGCTACGAGACAAAGAAGGTGACCATCTGAAGGAAAACATGCGAAGCTCGATCTGTCACGTTCTCGCTCACGCCATTAATTATTGCAATAATACACGTACGTCTGTGCTGCCCACGCAGCTTCTGGCAGGGCTGCTGGGGGTGGAGGCGGCGCAGGACGCGGTGTTCCGCGCGCGCCTCTTCGAGCGCCTCGGCGACGCCGTGCCGCCGTACAGGAACATCACGGTGGCGGAGTTCACGGACCGCGTGTCGGCGCTGCGCAACGGGCTGGGGCGGTGCGGCGTCAAGGACGAGGGGCTCACGGTGCCCCGCGCGCTCGGCGCCGAGGGCGCCATCTGCACCAACGTGCTCTCCGCCGACAGGGACTCGCTCTCCTACGCCCGGACGCCCGCCGAGCTGCTCAGCATCCTCTACCTCACCGGCGACGAGCGCGTGCCCGGCGGATTCTACCCGGAGGGCGCCAATGGGAGGATCGCCAGGTCCTTTCTTGGCAAGCCACACGGTGGCGCTCACGGGGTGCCTGGAAACTAGCCAAGCTGCCTGTGGCCATCAGTGCCTTGGGTAGCGTATTGGTAGTATCTACGAGTGCTGCGTGCATGAATTCAGTTTAAGCGATTGTTTTATGTTTATATATCAGTGTGTACATTCGGAGCTGAGCTCACCGATTTGAACTAAGTGTCCGTGCACAAACATGCTGCAACTGGAGCATATATATATGGTTGGATGAACTTGCAAAGTTTCATAAATAATGGTGGATTAATATCTACATAAATATGTTTATATTTGTATGGTTTAAATGTGTAATGAAAAGAGAGGTAGCAGTAGCACTAGTACACAGAAAGTCAGCCAAATACCAGGCATTAGACGTTACTATATAAACAATTTATGGAGCCCCTGAATTTCTTATAAATGCGGTAAAGAGATGAGGAGCTAATGGATCGCTTCTAGAAACTGATTTCCAATAGTGATTCATAAAACCATCGGCCTCTAAAATAATCTTCATTCTTCGTGTTTCCAACCACCTATAAAAATAGAGGCCATTTCTAAAGAAATTGTTGGCACATATTAAATAGTCTTATTTTTCCTCCTCGAGATACAACTATGGCCTAAGGAGGAAAAGGAGCATAACAATTAACAATCCACTAAAAACATTAGAATGGAAAATATTTTTCAATTAACAACTAGTTATGCCTTCTGTCGTAGGACAGAGGAAGTAAGTATGAAATTGAGTCTAAATGAAAAATGATACCAATCATATGTGATTTTGGTAGTTGATTGATAACATAATCAAATAAATTAATGTGATTTGCTAGTATATATAAGCGTGACTTGGATATAGGCAACATAAGGATCAAAGTGATAAAACCGGACGTCAGCCGAGCTGCTCTCAGGATCCTCTACGACTCAACCGGCGATGGACGCGTGTCCGGTAACGCCAATAAATAACCTTAGATTCTGTTTGCCAGTGGAAATAAGTGGGTCCTCCAAAACATCTCCAGCTCGTCTGTAGGAACCATCAAAGGAGATCAGGGCCTACGTATTTCTCCTACTGTATCAAGGAGTATATGTGTGTACTAGTCCCCGCATTGTTAAGGTTAATTTTGAAGGAATATGCGAGAAGATTGACTCTAAACATGATGAAATTCCATTGGACCCCTGAGTCGCTCATCTTCACAGCTTGCTGTGAGTGCAGGAATAAGGTCTGAGATGCAGCAATCCAACTACGGCCTTGTTATATTAAAAAATAACTAGAGCTTTGTTTGGATACTCGTGTATTCAGGGAATGGTTTGGTGTGGAATTTAAACCAAAATTTTCACACCAAACCACTCAGATTGGGGTGAATACATAGGTATCAAACAAGGCCTACATGGTTTGATAAACTCGTAAACTCTGGTGCATTACTAGCAACCGAATATGGAACAACAGCCAGCTATTAGAATCGTACCCTGACTCGAGCAAAACTGAATCCAAAATCACCACAAATTGCAGCTCAAGAACTAAATGGCAATGCAGAAGGGAATTAAAGGAACCACACACATCTAACTCAGATGGAATCCAGCAAAGATACCAAGTCTTTAGATTTAAGATACCAACTGAAATCACAACATTGCATATGGTGACATGAAATCAAAACATAGCTTAGGCAGGGTCCCTCAAAGTGTCCGATTCTTGGTAAACTACATGTAAGATCTACTGTTTGATCTCAGCCTTCTTCTTCTGCCACAGCCTGTCCAAGGAGCTGTCTGCATCACCCTGTGCAGAACAAAATATGAAATCAGAATCTACCCCAATACAATGAGATTCCACAACCAAACAGAGCAAACAGGTAACTGGATAATCCACTTGACTAACATATAAACCATAACAAGAAAATATGTCCACTAGCTGCATCTGAAAATCAATCTAAGAACACATACAGGTCATAACATTCAATGCATCTGAAAATCAATCAAAGAACCAACTCTGAATTTGAACAAAGACTACATAATGCCTAATCCTGCTAGGAATTAACCAATACCGAAGCCATATCAATCAAACAGGCAAAGAATCAATTCAGCTGAAAAGGTAAAACGGATGCTACAACAACCTTTCCATATCAATGCACTACATCAGATGTCAACAATATGAAACTCAGGAAACACACATTTGTGGTAGAAAGTTGCATGTAGGCATTACATTAAGCTCTGAATTTTATGGGCTAGGCTAGACACAATGCAATAAGAATATCATGGAGTATCACCTGAGCACGGACAAACCCAGAGAGAGCAAACGTGGTGAAGTGACCATCGTACAGGCCATTCGAATCCAAGTGACCAATGTTGATCTGCACAGAGGCATGATCCTTGGCAGTGATAATCCTGTTCGTGGCCGAGCTGCAAGAACAGAAACTCAATCTTAGCACACTACAAAACCAACCAGGCAGAGCAGAAACATTTCTAAGTACAAGATGATGAGGCAAACGTACCACTTCCTGGGGACGTAGAGGTCCACCATCTTACCCTCCTCGTTCTGCATGGCGACAGTTGGGGGAACTACCGCAACAGCAACTGAAATAGATGAGAACCATCAATCAGGCACATCAAAAGAGAAGAGCACTATGCACTCGGAGGACTCATTCAGTTCTGTAACAATTCCAATTTGATGAACGAGGCAAGTCTATATTCATGACTATGCATAACTAAGACTGAACTATACAGATTTCGAAGTAAAGCAATCCTTTGCAATTCAACAAAAGGATTGGAATCAATTCATCCATGTAGCTAAAACACCAAATACCAATAGTAAAATAATCCCTTCCACCTCAGGCACGATTGCACGAAAAATGGTAAAAAAAAAATCGTACTAGTTGATATGCTAGCAGGTAGCAGCAAACAAAACGACGGATCCTCGCAAACCAACACGAGGAGATCTCAAAACGACCCCTTGCCAAACAATCAGGCACACGCGCTAGGATGGATAGGCAACAGATCAGCGACGGCTTGGGGAAGGAGAGGGCACGCACCTTGACCTCTCGAAGGGAAGCACGGGAGACAGAAGACAACTGCGGCGGCGGCGTGAGGGTTCCGGGGGTTGGGAGACTTGCTGGCATTTATATATCAGAGAGCGGGTCGTAAACCCTAGCGTTCGACTCTGGGACCCACCTGCAGCGTCACGTTCCTTAGGTTGGGCCGTGTCGCAGTGCGCCATTCTTCACTAACTAGTCCATCAGTAATGGGCCTGGCCCAACATGCGAAAACAGCCCGCGCCACCTACACCCGGTTTCTGTTCCGTTTCCCTCTCTCCCTCCCCGACCCCAACCCAAACCAAGAGCAGACTAGACCGCGGCGGAAGGAGAGCAGGCGGCGGCGGCGCCGATTGCGGCCATGGAGCTGTCGATGAGCGGCGGCTCGCTGCGGACATTCGGCCGGTGCGTGACCTTCCTCGCGCGCGTCGCCTCCGAGCTCGTGCTCCAGGCGCACCCCGCCAAGGTTCGCAGCCCCTCTCGTCGCCTCCCGACCGCCGCGTGAGGAGTCCCCTCATCCCCCCTGAGTCTTACGAGCTCTCTTCTCTGACGTTTCATCAGCTGGAGATGCACACGCTCAACAGCTCGCGGTCGGCGTACGCTTCGGTCTCCCTAGCGCGCGACTTCTTCGACCAGTACACCCTCGACGCCGCGGCTTCGGCGCCGCCTTCCACGCCGCTGCAGTGCAGCGTCCTTCTCAAGTCCCTGCTCGCCGTCCTCCGCACGCCGCACGCCGCGCTCGACCGACTCGCCGTATCTCTCCCAGAACCCGACGCGCCCAAGCTCCAGATCACCCTCCACTGCCTCAACGGTGCGCATACACGCTACCCTCTCCTTTCCTGTCCCCATCTACCCTCTAAGGTTTTCACTAAGAAATTTTTGCGATACATTTCCCCGATCTTGCGAATTTCGTGCTTCTGGCTCGCTGTTCTCTGCACTCCAGACACATTTTTTACGGTTTGGCTGGGCTCTTCTTCCACTCGTAGCTCTGATTTCTCCCAATTCTTCTTGTACTGCGTTGTTAAGGTGTGAGGAAGACGTACTGGATCGTGTGCAGCGCGGAGCCTGAGGTGCAGTCGCTGTCGCTAGACCGGGGACGTTTCCCGAGCCGCCTCGCCATCCGGCCGCGGGAGCTCGCGCGCCTGCTGTCCAACTTCCAGTCCTCTCTGCAGGAGCTCACAATCATCGCCACAGATCCTGCTTCAGGGCTACTTGATGCCGGCGGGGACGTCGGGGGCAAGGCTGTTGAGCTCCGGAGCTACAATGACCCGACAAAAGGTACTTCTCTTCTGTTGTTTCTGGATTGGTTGTGAACGTTGTGTTCAGGCTAGTGATTGGGCTTTGAAAATGTGCTGGTTTATGGGGTCGCAGATGACTGTGACACTAGACTGCACACACAACTGTGGATCGACCCTGCCGAGGAGTTCGTGGAGTTTGTTCATGCTGGTGATCCGGTGGATGTCACCTTTGGGGTAAAAGAACTGAAGGTGATCAATGATCTATCCCTTGCTCTTGTGATGGAAACAGACTGTAATATGATATGCCTTTAATTGGAGAATAACTTTGTAGGAGCAGCAAGGAATTATGAAAAATATATGTCTGTGACTCAGCACATGAATTACATTTTCAACTCCCTACTATCGTGAATACAAGAAACATGTTTGCATGTTAAAACTCCTACCAAAACTATTATTTCTCTTGGATAGAAGTTTGTTAGTTCTTATATCTCACAGTTGCTAGAAGGATCTTACTTCATGAGTCATGATAACTGGTATGCTTAGAAGTTCATATATTCTGTAGTGGATTTATTTGAGACATTTGATGCCGACGATTGCTTTCTCATCCTGTAATACTAATGGAGTCTTTGCATTTTTCTTTCTTTTTTTTCCCTTCTATACTAGGCTTTTTTAACATTTTGTGAAGGATGTGAGGTTGACATCCTCCTATTCTTTGAGAAGACTGGCGAGTAAGTTGTCGTGCTTATGGAACTTCATTATCTTTTTGGATTGGTCCACATGAGCTTTCACTGAATTGCAGACCTGTTCTTTTGGTCCCGAGATTCGGATTGGATGATGGAGCAACTTCTGATTTTGAAGCTACTCTAGTTCTGGCTACTATGACTGTATCGCAACTATCTGACAGCAATGATGCCCAACAACCAGCTACATCAGCACAACATACGGGAGAACCAAGGGCTGCTGCTACACCAGTTCCCGAAAATGTCTCGAACCATACTAAAATCTGGTCAGAGCTTTCAGGTGTGTATCTTTCTTGTGAAATGCTGTTTCCAAGTAACCATTGGTATGGTTGCACTACATGCATGCCTTCCTATCCTATGTCCAACTGGACATCATTGTGGTCTGATCGGAACCAGGGCAGGGACCAAAGGGCCTATGCAGAGCATAATGGCCATTTTTGGCAATTGGCATTGCCAGTATCAGACCACAATGAATGGACGGTTATATGCCTTGGTGTAATCACACTAACTGGTGACTGAAAAACTGCTTTCATATCTGAATCCTTGCATTGGCTTTGTCGCTATACCATCAGGTTAGTTAAATATAAGCAAAACCTTCTTAAACAGGTAGTACTCCCAAAAGCTTTGAAGCTAACAGAGAAAAACATGCCCAGACGGACAGAAATGCAAGCACTAATGTGCTGAATGACACGTCAATGCTGCCCAATGTTACAAATGCTCCAAGCAAGCCACCAGTTGCAGATAATGCAAACAATACGTATCCTATAAGTTGTTTTCACTTAATCCTTGCTAATTTACTCAGTGTTATAATTTGTTGCCACCTGAATTATCAATTCACAACTTCGAATCTGTTGTATTTCTTTTCAATCCTCTAATTAGCTAATCAACATATGTTGTAAGGTAAACCTAACAACAACTTGATAACTGATCTGCCGCATTAACAAGAACTGATTTTCTCTTTTTCCTGTGATGTAAGGAAATTTAAAACTTTTTACATTCTTTATCTGGGATTTTCAGCATCCCTTGACATGGGACATTTCTGCCCTGTGTTTGAAAGATCTAAACATACAAAGCCTACTAGTCTCTGTGTGCCTACCTGTCTTCTGTCTTCCTTGGAGTAAATGTTTCTATACTGATTAGGCAGTTGAAGTTGGCTTGCAGAAAACAAAATGGTGCAAACATTTTTTATAGGGCCTAGATTATACGTTAGGGTCAAGTCTACAATCATGCTAGTTGTATATGTTGATATACAGTCTCTGAGTTTGATGAACTTTCTTGCACAATATGTTGACTCCATAAGAAACCGGCATTAACTATGTGGGGAAAAGTTATGTCTTGCTATCTAAAGTGCTAGTGTATGTGACGTTCTGAATTGGTAGGCCAATTCAATGAAGTCATAAATGCATTTGTTTGGTGTTGATGGACTTTCTGTTTGTTCGTAATCACAAGTTGGTAGGTATAAGATGCTACAGTGAAGTTATTTTCTTTGTGCTTCCTTAACTATCTTGCACCACAGAATGCAGCCTTCACGAATGGATCACATGGAAGAACATCCTGGTTAATTATCAAACAAAACCATCCATTACGTTATGTCATTAGTTACTGATAAATTTCTACCTTGTCGGATGTTTAGCTAACTTGCTTTTATGATGTTGCAGAAGTTATCAGTGCTATTCCTCGATCGCAGCATCACCCAAGCAACTGGGTAGGTGCTGATGATAACGATGATGACAATGAAGAAGACGAGGAGCTTTTAGTCCAAACAACACCGCACTATATGGACTGAGGATAAATGATTATTCTAAAATATGTAGGTGCAATTCAGCCTAGTGTATAGTGGATGAACGAATTAGGAATTAGCTGAAGGCTTTTCGTTTACTCTTAGTAGTTCTAGTAGGGCAGGAGTTGGTGACTCTAACTGAATTTCCCCAGACATGTAACACAGTAATGATTCTCTTAACTCTGTATCCATTGTGACTTGCATTTCTTTTTGTAATGTAGAGAAACATTAAGGTTGATTTGTTCCAATTCGCATAAATGTTATTCCTTCTCCATAAGAAAAGAAAACAGTGCATTTGCATCTGATTTCTTCACATTTTTCTACATCCCCGATGTATTTTGGGCGTGCAAAAGCACCTGCCCGTTTCATGTGTTGAGTTGCATCTCTCCATAAATGGCATTGCTGCAAAGTGCCCGGGGGGCGTGGACATTTTTAGCCGATTATGTTCCCGTATTTCAACATATCTGTGAACTTATTCATTTGTATTTGTACAACAGTTCAACGCCTAACCTAGCTTCCGTTCCATCATCACCTGCTGTGGTTCTTTCACTTTAACTGTCCTTGGAAGACGGTGAAAGGAAACTGAGATCTGACATGGAAACTGCTTCCTTTTACTAATAGAGGTTTTGCGTCTTCCCAGTACCCTGCACCGGAGGCCATGCAGGTTCAGGCGTGCAGCTCGCCTGGCTATCATTGGAATCTGTTGTCCCGCTAAATGGTCCGATGTGAATTATCTCATTTCCTAGTCGTCTTTCATTTGCATTCATGAACTCATACGATCATGTTATGACTTACAACTGATCAGGATGCTCGTTGTTCTGAAGTTCCATGTGAACATCCCTGGTTGCCCTGGATCTTACTTCACAGTTTTATTTTTGATGAAAGGCTGCTCTAAAAAATATTTTTTTGAAAGGAGTTTTGGAGGGTGATGCTTCTGCGTGGCACTGTGATATTTCTGCATAAAAGGATGCAGCTTTTTCATCGTACGATTGAATATCTTTTGATTTGTTGAAGCAGGGTGCCGCGTCCCATCCCATAGGCCAAGGCCATAGCAATCCAAGGCGCTTCTGGTTTTTTTTTTTTTTTACTTATTGATAGCAAGAGGAAATGGCTAGAAGATTTCTAGGAGGTCAACCTGCAGCAAGAATCGGGCGCGGGGGCAGGAGACTGCTAGATGTTTGTGCCTCGCCACGAGACCACGCATTCTCGACGCCCAACGTTGCTCGAGCAAGGTCAGCGTTGGTGGCATCACCATTCGCCCAGACACGATGCCAGCGCCCAGCACCGAGCATAACACTCCCTCCCGGCCTACCGTTTAAAACCGGATCGCCCTCCACCGCCCAAGGCGCTCACTCGCCACTGCCAGCTCCACCGTGCCGGCCGCCACCTCGCGCGTACGTCTCAAAGCCCCGCGTCCAGTCCACCATGGCTTCGGCACGTCACACGCTGCTGCCGCTGCTCCTCGCGGCCGCGACGACGATGGCGACGCTCGCCGTCTGCGGCAGCGCCACGGCGTCGGAGGAGCTGATGATGTCGACCATCCACGCGCGCGTGGCGGCGGAGTGGGCGTGGTCGGCGGCCGGGGCGTCGTCGTCGTCCGACGACTCGTGCTGGTGCTCGCCCGAGGAGTGCCCCGTCGTGGACGACGTGGACGCCGAAGGCGGCGCCGCCACACCGAGGGGCCGGATGCGGCTGCAGCTGTACGACGACGTGAACACCGTGGCCAGCCTGCTGCCGACGGCGCAGTACCTCAGCTACAGCGCGCTGATGCCGGACTCGGTGCCGTGCTCCGTGCCCGGGATGTCCTACTACAACTGCCAGCCGGGCGCCGACGCCAACCCCTATACACGCGGCTGCTCCGCCATCACCCAATGCCGCGACTAGCTCACTTGCTCTAGCTCTTCTCTCTGTCTGATTTTTTTTTTTTCGTTCCCGTGGCGTGGCACTCTCCGGCCGTGGTTTCTTGCTGAGTTGCTGTGTGCTTCTGTCGACCTGTGCGTGTTGCGTTCTCGCCTGGCCATCTGCTGGATGGCCTCATCGCCTCGAGGGTGATGGTTATTAGGTGCTTTTATATACCATCCTGATATTCTTGATAAGCAGATCAAAGAAAATGATTACAGTGCAAAACACATGCGAAGTTCTCTGCTTTCTTTCTTTGTTTCTTTTTTTTTTCCTTTTGTTGTTCTATCAGCTGCCTGATTTGTTACTCACGAAGGGCACTGCATTTCTCTCCCGATTACTATGACTCTGTTAAAAGCTGTGGTGTTTCATCGCCAACAGCATTTTCTCGGTATAGCTACACGGCCCTAAAGTCCCACACTCCCACGCCCCCAACACACACGGAGTCCTGTTTAGGCTGTGTTTTAGTTCGCGAAATGAAATTTTTTGATGTCACATCGGATGTTTCGGGGATGTTGGAAGGGGTGTTCGGATACTAATAAAAAAAATTAATTACATAGCTCGTCTGGAAACTGCAAGACGAATTTATTGAGCCTAATTAATCCATCATCATCGCATGTTAGTTACTGTAGCACTTATGACTAATCATGGACTAATTAGTCTTAAAACATTCGTATCGCGATTTCCAACCAAACTGTGCAATTAGTTTTTTTTTCGTCTATATTTAATACTCCATACATGTGCCGCAAGATTCGATGTGATAGTTTAGGGTAAAAATTTTTGGGAACTAAACCAGGCCTTAGTTAATCCCCAACCCACACGATTGAAGTAGATTGAGTTGAGAGCTTATTCGGTTAAACTTCAATCTGAGGGGATTGAGGGAGATTTTAACCTCTCGATCCTATCTCAATCCTTTTGGATTGGAGCTAACCAAACAAGTCAGGGGATTTATACTTTTATAGAGGATAAAATCTCCCCTCAACCCCCTCCAATCACTTTGGAATTTGGATTAACTGAACAAGCTCAGAGGGGGGAAAGCTAACAGTCGATCGAGCGTTTAGCTTTCGCTGGCACCTAATTTTTCTTCTTCATTCACACATGAACTCGCTCATCTTCTTGACTTTTGCGAGGTCATAATTTGGGTTAAAGGCTTGGGATTAACCGGGGTTCTATTCCGGTCCAGTGAGATTGGAAGGAAGCCAACAGTGTGAGGCTATCTCGATAGCTTGGCTGGTGCAAAGATTAAGGAGAGGGGATGGCAACACCGCTGACGGTGTTGCCAGTAGATGGGGTCAAGGTGGGGATGGCCACGACACCATGGGAAAGTTGCCTCAAGCCCGATATAGTCTCGCAAACTCCGTTGACCATGCAGAGAGACCCTAGCACACTACATCAAAGACAAAGGCCTTGTTCGCTTGTCTTATAATCTATACTTTTCAGCTTATTTTTTCAGCCGGAACAATATTTTTCTCTCACAACAAATCAGCGAGAACAGTGTTTTCAGCGAAGCGAACGGGGCCAAAAGGGGCTCGGAGAAAGAAGACGACGTCGGCTTCACCTGCTTAGTGGAAGAGAAAATATAAGGGCACGTTCAATCCCTCCATCAAAGACAAACTAAGACCACTTTTCCGGTTCCTCTCCTATTCTAAGCCACTACAAGCATGTGGAGCTAAGAAAAAGATTTTGGAATGGAAGCACCATAGCAAGAGAATTTAAAAAGCAGACACCCTATGATGTGCATTCCTTCAGCTAACCCAAAATGATAATTAGTGGGATAGGAGTATCTTTTTCTTTCTTTATTTGACAATGGCTCCCACATACTATGGGGTAGAGGAGCCGTAGCAACGTTTGCTAACATAACCTCTTTCTTATTACTAGTTCTTCGGGCGCGCCCATGCGCGCGGGCCACTGGCCACACGTATTTTTTGGGAAAAAAAAGATATAATCAAGGGGGGCCTGTATTTCGATTTGAGAAAAATCTGAGGAGGTTTTCGAAAAAATCGCTGAGAGTGTCTCTGGAGTGCGGGTTGATTTTTGATAAAATGAAGGGTTTTTTTGCAAAAAAGCCGGAGCTCATCCGTTCTGGACTGCGGGTTGATTTGAAAATTATCTGAGGTGTTATTTGCAAAATATTCTGAGAGGGTATTTGGAGCGCGGGTTGATTTCCCAAAAACATAAGGGGTTTTTCGTAAAATGACCGCGCCTCGCCCGATCTGGGCCGTCGATGCGGCCGATCGAACGGCCAGGAACGGCCGGCGACGTGGCGCGCCGTGTGGGCAGCCTGGCCACACGCTTTCTTGTCTTTAGATGTGGCAGTGAGATAAAGTTTTTTCATATATAATAATTATCATGAAAAACAATTAGCTAATAGCCTATTACAAAAGAACAACTTAACACAACACAACCTCAAGATAATAAGCTCACATCAAAGATTAAGGTAGTCTTCTTCCTTCGATTGCCCACTGCATCTTGAAAATTGCTTAGAAGTAAACTGAGTTGGGTTAGGTCAGATGTGCCCCGGGCCAAAAAAAGGCTTGACTGATTTTGAGGGTGTTATTGTAGCCAATCTTAGAAATATTACTGGGGAAAACACATTTAAATTTGCCCTGTCTCTTTTAATGCTCACCCGATGATGGTTCGTTTGATGTGATCGTGCTCCTGCGTGGTTCGAGCAGGATTTAGGTTTTCTTTTCGTTAAAAAAAAGAGGGACTTAGGCTAAACCTGAATAGCCCACGAGGCCCATATTATCTTTCCAAAGCCCACGACAAATCATGGACCACTCCATTCATCTCCCGAGTCCCGACCAAATTATCCACACACACGCGCCTCCGCCTCCCCACTCCCCCAAGCTCGCACGCCGCGGCGGGAGCACCACCGCGGCCGCCCACCATGACCTCCGCCTCCACCTTCCTCTCTCTGCGCCTGTCCACCCCGTCTCCCTCCCACGGCGCTTCCTCCCCTTCCCTCCCCCCGTCTCTGCTCCGGCAGGCGCGTGGCGGCGTGGCGTCCTCGACGCTGGTGGCGCGGGCGGCAGGGCCAGCGGGAGCGGCGGGGGCTCCGTCGCCGCTATTCAACCCCCGGGGAGACCCGTTCCTGTCTACCCTCGCAGCCGCCTCACCGGAGGACCTTGCGGCTGCCGCTGGCGGCGAGCGCCGTGGAGAGGACCACCTGCCGTTCCTAGAGATCTTCCAGAACGCCAAGCTCATGGCCTCGCCCGCGCAGGTGAGGGTTCCGCGTTTGTATCGGCTGCGGGAATGGAGCTTCTGTTATCTGTTATGATGCTGGTATTGACAAGAGGGGAAATTTATGGTTTGGGCATGAGTTGATTGTGCTCGTTCGTGTATTTCTAGCAGCAAATTAAGATAACATTATAGCTTCAGTTTTCATAGTTTTCATGAAGTAACCCTCCCATCTGAAGCCTATCTTTAGCAATTCTGATCTCCACACTACCTGGCATGTTAAATTAGGTTGGCTATTTGCTATACTTCTCAAAGGTTTTGAATATACGTTGAGAAATTAGAGGTACTAACTTATCCACACGGAGATATATCAATCATGACACAATTTCAAAGATCAACCTGTGCTAATATTTTCACGTGTACCTTTGCTTCTTGTTATCTGCTGCATGCACCTTGATGATCTTTAGTATTTGTAGTATATATGAATTGCACTTCACTTAATCATATCTTGCCTATGATTTGTGATTGTCAGGTGGAACGGTCTAACAGCTCATACAGTCAGCACAGGCCTAGAAGGCCTCCTCCAGATTTGCCTTCATTGCTTCTTCATGGTCGAATTGTTTATATTGGCATGCCGGTATGAATCTGCGCCAAGGTTCTTGATGCCAAGTTTCCTTTCATGTTATTACTCTGCATTCATGGATGCCTAGACTTGATAAACGATCTGACTTGGTGTTAGATTTATAGCTATCAGCTATGAAATAGCAAAGGCATGATTGCACGGATTAGATCATTGTAGCCAATATAGTTTGTATTTCAAATATCAACTCCTTCCGCACTCCACATATAAGCAAAGAAGAGAGCATTCCTGTGAGTTCTGGTGGCCAAAAGAGGGTAAAAAAAATGATGCACAATAATGTTTTCTCGACTCCTACTGTTGTTTAGTATTACAAAGAAATATTCCATTTGTAAAGGGTTGTTCATATTACCTAATCAGGCTGTTCAGATTGCTACCTGGTCCTTCATGACTACATGTGAAGGAACCTTTGTGTTATAGGTCGACTGCAACTTCCAATAAAATATTATAGGCCTGTTTGGTCTGGCGATGCAAACAACATGTGGGAGAAGATGGCAACATGCGTTCGAAGGTTGCTTCAGAGGTGCTTGGAGTGACCAAAGGGAGCGGATGCGACTCGAAAGACACTTGGTGGTGGAATGAAGATGTACAAAAGGCTATTAAGGAAAAGGAGTGTTATAAGCGCTTGTATCATGACAGGTGTGCAAACAACATAGAGAAGTACAAGGTGGCAAAGAAGACTGCAAAACGAGCGGTGAGTGAGGCAAAGGGGCGCGTCTATGAGGACCTTTATCGACGTTTGAGTACGAAGGAAGGAGAGAATGACATTTATAGGATGGCTAGGGCTCACGATAGGAAGACAAGGGACTTCAACCAAGTCAAGTGCATAAAAGATGAGAGGGAGCAGCTCTTGGTGAAGGAGGATGAGATCAGACATAGATGGCAAGAGTATTTTGATAAATTGTTCAATGGTGAGAACGAGAACACCACCGTTCAGCTGGACGACTCGTTTGATGACACTAACAGACGCTTTGTGCGGAGGATTCAAGAATCGGAGGTCAGAGAAGCCTTGAAAATGATGAAAGGGGGCAAAGCGATGGGCCCTGATGGTATCCCAATCAAGGTGTGGAGATGTCTCGGGGATATAGCTATAGTATGGCTAACCAAGATATTCAACAATATCTTTCGATCGAACAAGATGCCTGAGGAGTGGAGAAGAAGCATATTG